TCGTCGATGTTTCCGATGGAAATACACACTCATCATGATTACGTATCCAAAATATTATTGATAAGAATCGGTAATAATACTTATCAAATTCAAAAGATTTTAAGAATAAATGTGTATTCCGATTCTAAAAAAATACAATGCTTCAATATTCAAATTGATTTTATTAGTCAAACAAAAATTACTAATATAAGACATTTGTATGTGACAATTTTATACTATTGTATCATTTTATTTCCCATGTATTCTCCTTCAAATTCATTCAAATAGATTTATGACATTCCTAATGTTGATGATGATGATGATGAAAAAAATCAATCTAGGAATATTTCAATAATAACAACAACAAAAAAGAAGAAAAAAAGGAATTGAATATTCTACATCAGTGGTTTTCAACCTTTTTAAAACATTTGCAAAATCTTCCATCTCTCTCTTTCTTTTTCATTTTACATTTTCATCGTTTCTTTTCATCAGATTATAATATCCTGATTCTATAGATTTTACGAAACTGAGGTTTCCGTTAGGAAACCATTTTTGATTATATTTATTTTGAATGAGATGATGAAAAGTGAATGAATTTTGATTGAAAAAAATAGTGAAAAGAAAAAAAACATGTCCAACAACAACAACAACAAAATGTGAAATCAGTACAAAGAATCTTGTATTTTTTTGGTGAATGTATCGGTTTTTTTCACTGTTCGAATCGAAAAATCAAATCGGATATGTAATATCCGACCATGATGACAAACAAAATCATCAAACATTTCACAAGTGTCGACAATATGAAAATGAAAATCGAATCAAATCATACAAATTCTGCCATTCTGAATCAGTATATTTGGAAAACGGAGAGAGATAAATGAAAAAAAAGATGAATTGTAACGTACAAATTGATTTGAATCAGAAAAAAAATTCGTATGGGAATCCATATGAACGAATGGAATTTTCATTTTTTTCTCTACATTCATCGTCATAGAAAACAAAACAAATCATATAGATTGGAAAATTCTTCAGAATCAGAGAAAAATAATAGAAAACAACAATGATGAAAAGTGAAATAAAAACAATTTCATATTCATCATCATAAAATATTTTAATTGATTGAACAAAAAAAAATCTGAATATTACAAACAAACGGAAATTTAAACTTGCAATCACATGAATGAATCACGGAAACATGAATTACAAAAAACTAAAAGTAAAATTAACAATTGAATTTTTCATCAAAATTATCCAAAAGCGGAAAGGCCATGTCAGATTCGAGAATAAACCAACTCCAACGATTCTATATTCGGGAAAATTAAAATGAAATTTTAGTGACAAAGAAAAAAAACGGGCGTCATGCCGGCCGTTTTGATACCAATAATTTTTTTTCACTCATATAACCCAAATACTTTGTCACTTTGTTTTATTGAAAAATTATGTTTGTGTGTGTAGGTTTTCATTTCATTAAATGATAATTTAGCAACATTCGATCTGCCACCACAAAATTTTTGTTTTCACTTTACTGTGTCGTTTTCAAGATCCAACAAATATTGTTTTGAACTATTCAACCAGACCAATGAAAACAAAAAAATAGCCAAAGAACCAGAGGAAAAATCACAGCCAATGTCAATCCAAAAAGTGGAACCAATGGGGAAAAAGAAAGAGAAAAAAAATCAACCAGCTATCGATCGCACGACAACAACAGCAGCAGCAAGAACAATAACCATTGTATAATCAACATTAACAGCAACAACAACAAAAAAGACAAAATTGGAAAATGATCGTTTAGCGCCCGTTGCCATAATTCGATCCAATCTATCGAATATCAAACCAAAAATTCAAGACAAATTTAACATTGTTACAATGTCCACGCAATGATCCATTGTGTTAACCAGAAACAAAAAAAAAGAAAGAAAAAAAATGACATATGATCGTGTATCATCACGCCATAGTTGTTGTATGTTGCAGTATATCATATGTTTCTGAAAATATAATAATAAATATGCCGCCTATGATCAGTCTTTTTATTTTGTTTGTCCTATTATTTTAGACATAGATCTAATCGCCGGATCGTCTTTTTTCCCTTGTTGTTTATTAAATCAGAATATTATCAATCTTTTAAGATATATTCACTGGCATATTCACCTTGGGATTTTTTTTAATGCTTTGTTTTAAGATTGATCTATTTTGAAAGATGATGATGATGGTAAGTGAGCGAAAAAAAACAAGCAAACGATGGCAACATTTATAAAAATTCATATTAAATTAGTCAATTCCATGATTATATAATGGTGTCCATACACACAACAACACATATAAAATTCATGTGTGGTTAAATTCAATTGAATTTTCATCGAATTGAATTTATATGAATAAAGATTTTTAGTATATAATATATGAAACCATGACCAATTTCAATGAAAAAAAAATAAAATAAATCGAAGTTGAACCATGAAAATAAAAAACCAAAAAAAAAACATAATAATAATAAAAACTCGACTAGATCACGCAATCAAATTTTCTATTTTGGCGATTTTTTTTCTTGCTTCTCTTCATTTTGTTTCTTTTCGTTGTTGTTGTTATTCACATTATCTATCAAATATAGCTAGAAAAAAGTAAGAGAGATTATTATTGTTATCATAGAAGACCAGAAAAACTTTGAATCTTTTGGTTATAGTTATAAATCGTCAAGTAAACGTTGCATATAAAAATAACTATAGTGAGAAAATCGGGTTCAAGATCGATTAATTCTGGATATAGACAACATGTTTTTTGTATGGTTATGATGGTATATTAATTTCTATATGGGTAATAACTAGATTGTGTATATCAATAGTGGCTACCTAGCTGGGACCATTTTTTTCTATTCAATTTGGTTGATCAATTTCCGTTTTTTTTTCTTATTTTTTGAAGAATAAAAGGTGAAAGAAATAGCAGATTATATAAAGATTTTGAAAATGTAACTTTTTTCATTTGATAGAAAATGAACATTGAATAAACATATTATGAATGGTGCGATAAATCTATTCCAAATTGAAAAAATCCGCATCAACATCAAAAAAACAAACATTCTAATTTGATAAGGTGTATGTATGATTTGTATCAGTTGTGTTTGTCAATCAGTTGGTCCAACGAAAAAAAAAATTGTTATTTAATCATCGTTATAATATGGCTCCTTATAACTAACTAATCAAATGCTGCTAGGACTTTTTTTTGTTAAACCACGCCGATATTTTGTTTTCATCCGATCGTCCGGTTATAAAGATAATTTTTTTTTGCTAGTGGTGTAATGTTAAAGCTATACGAATTATCCAGTATATACATAAATAGAATTGCGCCGACACAATGTTTCGAAATACCCGGTCTTTTTTTCCTACGGATTTCAGATTCGTTGTTATTGTTATTTTTGTTGGCAATAATTCTATACTATAGTTAGGTTTATTGGCGCCTAACGTTTCAAGAGAAAAAGAAAAATATTCGTTTGGGCATATTGAATGTTCAGTTTATGTTTGGAACATGAATCATGATGATATCATTTGTGTGTTTCTTCATCATGTATACACACACATATATAATACCAAACACTTGAAAAAAAATTTTCTTTATGTTTTGTTCATTCAGTGTCAGTGTTCAATGATTAATTTTACCTGCAATCATTTTTTTTGTTATGTGGTTATTCACGGCAAAGTGAAAATTTTTTTCATTGTTAATGTGTATGCAAATAGCGGCCCACATATATTTTAATAATCCAAATGATCATCTCTCTCTTTCTCTTTAGATAGAGTTCATTCCGTTTTCTTCGATAATTCAAGCAAATATATCATCAGTATATTTCCTTATTCTTTTTTTTTTTTTTGATAAATTGAATTCAGCGAAAACATGACCGATTCTTTTTTTGACCTATAGAAAAAAAAAACTATATTACA